CTTTTGTGAGGAGATCCAACAAGATCTTTCGAACCACTTTGACAAAAACAACTACTTAAAGTACTAAACAACCATGTATAAAATGGTACGTACTTTTGTGACCTTACACCTGAAATTAAGTTGTATAATACAGGTGGTAAAGTGTATTGGCATTATTACTATCATTTCGTTATTATAAATCAACTATGGATTATAACAAGATTTTGACTATCATAACGAAAGTTTGAATTGATATAACCAATACGTCCATGCAAAAATAGAAAGACTTTCCTGTAAAAATCAACGTTACATTAGGTTTTGTTTGTTGGATAACCCATGTAACAATGAGTGACTTGTGTCTCAACGACACCTTAGTACTGAGTTATGGTAGTGAATATGGGGTGTACACAAATACCACGTTCTTGGAAAGGGGGGGTCTATCTCTCGTCCCCTGAAAGGACCCCCTCTTTTACCAAGCACCCACCACAGCCGGGTGTGATTCTTAAAGGACTAACCGACCCGCTTAACGTTGGTAGGCGGGGCATTTTAGAGACTTTTCAAAACACTTCGGCGGGTAAAAATAAACGAGCGGAATCGTAATAATCGTAATCGGGTGCGTGGTTCCTCTCTGCTGATGAATCACCGTTGTGTGGTTTATTTTGCACCCTCGCCACCTCACTACTCTCCACAGCCGCGAAGACGGGTACTAAATGGGCCATGAAGCCCACCGTCATATATGCGAACACTTCAACAAGCCGGACGGTCATTTGGGTTTCTGTCTTCTTCTTCTTCACTGCAGTAGCCAAATTAAACGCATTAGGAGGGAGTCCCTGAATAAGGCTACACCATACCGTGCTAGATGAGAAATCTAAGGATCTTGATTTCTTCAACCCCCTTGATTCATGGACCCTTGGATTCATGACCCGTGATTCATGGCTCTTGATTCATTGCCCTTGATTCATTGTCCTTGATTCATTGCCCTTGATTAACCACACTTTCGCGATTAATTATAATTCAAACTTACGTTTTATGAATCCAAGTTGGAGTAGAATAACCGGGAAGATTGATTGGATTATGTCAATCGGTTACCCTGGGAATCGGGAGGAGACCATTCGTCGATTATGCTAGAAGTTCGAAATTAAACTAAACGTGAGTAGTTGGACACAGCTTAGCACTTTGACGTAGAACGTACAACGTAGTGGTAACACCCAGTGTATTTGACAGGGGTCTGTGTGTGTGTGTGTGTGTGTGTGGTGTGTGTGTGTGTGTGTGTGTGGGTGTTTGTGTGTGTGTGTGTGTGTGTGTGTGTGGTGGTGTGTGGTTGTGTGGTGTGTGTGTGTGTGTGTAGTGTGTGGTGGTGTGTGTGTGTGTGTGTGTGTGTGGTGTGTGTGTGTTGTGTGTGGTGGTGTGTGTTGTGTGTGTGTGTGTGTTTCTGTCTGTCACCCACTCATGTCGACGAGTCGGGCACAGAGACAGGGCCAGGGAGGTCATACTTCATCTATACCCCCGTTTTTACGTCTTTTGGCCTACACTCCTTGTAACGTCTTTTTTCTAGGACTCGAACACACGTATGTAAATGTGAACATAAGGTGCATAGGACACTTGGTTTCAACTTTCAGTGTCTTCTTTTTTTTTCACAACATGAACATCTTTTTTTACTTGAATCACTACTTTACAAGGGTGAACGGTTTTTGTATTATAATAAAATTTATAAAAGGTAATGTTTACGTTGAACCAATATGCTGGAGAGTTTAGTCAGATAATGTTGAAGTTGCTTAGACGAGACACCGTCATATTTAGGTGCTTAGACGCCGGAAACTTGAAAACGAGTGAAGAACGCTACTTACACGCGATTTCATTAAAAAATGGACATCTACACCCCCTCCCTCCCAACCCCTCGCTTCCCCGCCCCGATAGTCTTGCTCTCCGCGTTCGAGCCCAGTCAGTGATACAGTCACAGCTTGGCCTACTTGACGTCCCCGGGGCGTACAAGGGAAAGTGTGGTTGCGCCAAGGTTCCCGGCCAAGGCCTTGAACACGGACTATTCGTGGCCGAAAAGGACAAGTGCGCGTCACCTCTAGAAGAAAAGGGGCTTTTGGGGGCCAAAGAATAGTCGAGCTTTTTCACCAGTCAGATCCGTTCTTCAAAAAACATCTGGACAGACGCGGCGCACGCGTGAACACCGTAACAACCTACTGGATTAATTTTATGGCAGGCGGCAGGAGAAACTCTTTGTATTGTGTTTGGTCTGTCTGTGGCAGTGTTTTCATAGTCTATCCGAAGTTAAAGAAAACTACAGATATTTAATTGATATTTTTTTGTGATCAAATATATTTTACATTAATAAAAATGCCAAACGTATACTCCACCAGGCTCTTTTAGGAACTATTATTTATCACCAGGCGTATTTGTTTTTCAAACTCTTGGGGACGGATGCCGTTATATTTTCAACTTTGTTCTGTCATCGCGACTCGTTGTCACTGATCTTGCGTTGGTGTGTGACAATTTTTTTTTTGGTGAAAATATATTCAGTTCCGTTGTTATTGGTCATTTTGTCCGAGCACCACTAAGGACAAATAAACTGGGTAGGGCAAGCGACAATTACTAGTAACACCTCCCCCGTCTGCAAACAAAACATAATGATTGTCGATAGTCTACCTTAGTTAGTACCGCGTGTCCAACAGTACAGGGCTGATAGTGTTCATCTTATGAATTACCTTTTTTATGCGGCCATTTTTAACACCGGACATCTTTTTGCCGATACGGTGTTCAATATCGTTGTTCGATGTTACATGGGATCAGTTATATCAGGCCAATCGAAGCCAACGATACGATTGTATGTGGGTAAAATATGGTCTGTGAAAAGTATTGTCCCAACACTACGGTTATGTCGCAGTTAAGTCTGACTATGGTTAAGTGAATTACCCTTAAACGCCCTATAAATAGTGACGGAACACCTGTCAGTCGGGTCACTTCTGAATGTCGCCGGCGACGACACTCAATTGCCTCCTTATTTGAAGTCACCTGGCTCGTCGTTGCTCGTCGTGACGTCGCCAGCATTTTACGGCGACATTGTGTAATTATTTGTTACTTTGCTGCCGTGAGACCTCTTTTCATATTCACCTCTTCAGCAATAAAATAGGGGGGAACAACAACAACACATCACCTTCGTCCTCGACTCTTGCCCTCGACGGCAAACCACACTTTCCCCGTGTTGTTACATCAGTGAACACACACGTGACTGAGGCTCGAACGCGGAGCCAGCAAGACTATCAAAGGCGGGGAGCGAGGTTGGGGGGAGGAGGGGGGTGTAGATGTCCATTTTAATGAAATCGGCTGTGTAAGTAGCGTTCTTCACACAGTTTTCAGGTTCCGACGTCTAGCAGCTAATATGGACGGTGTCTCGTCTAAGGCACTTCAAACACTACTGACTAAACTCTCCAACTTATTGGTTCAACGTCAACATTACCTTTTATATATAATTTTTTAAATGTAAAAAGACGTTCACTTGTAAAGTAGTGATTCAGTAAAAAAAGATGTTCGATGTTTTGTAAAAAAGGGAAGACACTGGTGAAGTTTAAAACCAAGTGTCAATGCACCATAAAAATATGTTACATTTACAATTACGTGTGTTCGAGCTAAGAGGGAAAAGACGTTCACGAGTGTAGTCCAAAATGTGTGAGAGTGTAAAACGGGTGGTTATAGATGGAAGTATGAAAGGTCAGGGATTATTAAAACGAAGGAAACATGTCACTCGTCAAAACACCCAGGTCCAACTCTACCACTAGTATAAAAATTCGATATTTGACAGGTTTGCCAAAATAGAAAACGAGTTTCTTTTACTGTGACTTAAAGTTATAAAACTCGGATTTGTTACTTGTAACTATTAATTTTTGTAATTTTTTGACATATCCTTTTATAGACTTTTTGTATGGACTTACGGTTTTCTTTTACAAAAATTTAATAGATGTTAGACTTTTTGTATTGTAGTTAAATTTACTTTTTTTCTTGGGTTTATTTATCTATTATTTATTTATTAGTTTTGAAAGTTTCACATTGATAAAACAAGTACCTTTTTTTGTCTTGAGTTAGTTTTATATAAGTTTGGATTTTGTTGAACATTATGTAAAGGTTTACCGACATGACACTCCATTTAGAGATGGATCAGTCGACTACACGAACTATACAAGTGTGGACGTACCGGCTGTTAGATTTGGTAACAGGATTATTACACTTTACAGATTTTTCTCTGTCACAACCTGTCTAAACCTCCTACAAATTTGGTTGGAGGCAGAGGCGCACAGCAAACCATTCGACCCCATTTAAGCATTTTTCACTTCCTCTAATTCTTTGTGGTCTTTACGTTCAATTTTGTTATTAGAACAAAATTACTATTTTTCCATTGTATGTTTATTGTTTCCTTCATTAAGGACGTGGGCGGGGAAGGAGGTTAGAGTGCCTAGACCAGTCAAACTCAAAATAGCAACAGAAAGAGCTGCCATCCTTGCCCGGGCAGCAGGATTAAAGGAAAAGCATGCATTTGAAATGGAAAAGGCTCAACTGCAAGCTAGATTCGAACAGATGGAAATGGAAGTGAGCCTAGCTGAATCTGATGCAAAAATGAAAGTCCTGGAGCATTTTGAGACTGGTTCACAAAATTCAACACAAGCTAAATATGATGGCATGAATGACTATTTAAAAAGCTACAGAGTAAAATCAGATATGTCAATGGATGCAGAGCCTTCTCCAATTACCTTTGCTGAGTTTGGAGCCATTCCCAAAACACCACTTCAAAGGCTTCTATACCAACAACCAAGACCACCAGAACATATTGATAATACAAACCAAAGCTCTCAACACACAGCTAGAGATGCAGGAATTAGAGGGACAAATAATAATGACAATTTCCTGACTGTGATGCAGAGACAAAATGGCATTGTTAATTTACTTGTACTTCAACACAAACAAGCATCACTGCCCAGCAGGGAAATCCCAGTTTTTGATGGCTTTTTATTAGATCAAGGAGGAGTTCCGACCACATAACAACTCTTTCACTGGAAGAGACTTTGATGCTGAAGCTGGATGGGTACACACCACATCGCTCCAGCTGATGCGTGCCAAAGGAGGAGATGCTGGCTCTAGGATGTGCCCTCTCCTGAGCACAATTTATGAGGTACATTTATTTAAGTGTTTCATTCAAGAATATGAAAATGCAGAAATAAGTCTTTTCACTAAAATGCATTTCCTCACAGGCCCAGAGTATTGGAAAAAAGGGATGCAGTGGCCAGGTGCCTGATTGAATATCTTGGAGAACACCAAGAAGACCTTTTTCAAGACAGCCAGGTGTATGTCATTAAAGACTGATCAATTCAAGATTTTGACTTAGTTATTTCGGAGGTTGCTCTGATACCATTGTTTAATGTACTGTGATTAACCACTCAAATATAATATGCAATTTACTGCTGTAAATCTGTAAACATCTTATTGCTTTTATAAATGGTTTAGCATCCACAGGAAAACTATTTAGGGATAATTTACTGATGTGCTTAGCTACTTAAAATATAAAACTAACAACAAAAACCTTCTTTTCGTGTTAAATGGAAATAAGATAATTAAAATCATGCACTGAAAAGTTATGTATATTGGAAAGTGTCAATTTAATTTAATTGATTAGATCGTCTGGCAATTTGAGTGGGCCTGAACATTTTTTTTTATAAATTAGAATTCTTTTTTGTTTTTAATCGGTGCCACTCATTTTTTCAAATAATAAAAAAAAAGTCAAACCCTGGTTTTATTGATTAGGCTTGATGCTAGACCACAAAGCCTATATTGTATAATAGCTTCTTGTTAATATGCCTAATTTAAAGTGAATATGCTTTTATTTCTTTCTTTTCAACACGGAGGACGAGCATGACAACGTCATGGACCAAACTATGAAGGTGCTTGTGATCCATGATGCCAGGGACAGGGGACCAGCATATGTGTCCATTGTCATAGAGGGAGACAGAGTTTTGAATTTGTGCGGAAACCAAACAAAGGCATGCAAATTGTTGATGGGATTCATCTACGCCCTGAACCTGGAAAACCCCAACAAGCTCAAATACACATTTGAGGTATTCTAAAAACTGTTTTTGGAACTTGATGGAACCAAGCTGCTCAAACAAATCCAGAGCCTCAAATAAACAATTTGTTCTGAAGTGGAAGTTGACTTGTTTTAGTGACACAAACACAAAATAATGTGATGTGGAATGTAATGGATGTGGGGAAACCTTTTTCTGTTAAAAGTGGACTGTTTACTGGCACTTAAAGGTTTTAATAGTTGAGTAAATTGCACAAAATGTTTACAATTTCCATGCACTTTACTGTTAAAACAATGTGATTGTATGACTATTTTGAAGATTCTGCTCAAAGTGCTAAAAATTGAAATGCACTTAACTGTTTAAATAATCTCAATGTATGACCATATTGCACTCAAAAAATTGATAATTTGGTCAATAAAAACAAACAGAAAAGACATCTGGAAGGAACACAGGGATTTTAACCTTTGCTGACCATTTTCATAAACCTGTAGAACACACCACACGAAAGAGAAAACCCTAAAAAGCACAATGGGGCCCCTTTAATGGGTCCTGTCTACCATTTGAAAATGTATGGTATTTTGATGAAAGCCTGAGAGGTACTGTGCCATAAATCCTTCACTATGAATTGAAGTCCACCACTAATATTATGTTAGTGTGATACAAGCTATACTGTAGCGCACTCAAATGATCCAATAGTGCTTAGTAATGAACAACAGTCTACATTCATCTTCACATCCCCTGTTCCAATGATAACTGAGTACATGTGAAACACAAATATGGTTTTAACATTGTGCTCCTGTGATACATTGAGAACAGCAGATGCAGAACACAGGCCCATACACAGCAGCATGCCATGAATAGCTCTCACACGTGCTCCTCGCTGTATGTACAGTATGTAGGTTGATTTCTGCTTCCACCATTAGCTGCACTTCAAAGCTTCTTTTTCTTCCACTGCTCCAGTCCCCTGGGCTCCTCTGTCCTCTTTTCAGGGTTTGTCTCACATCAACAGCTATGCAGTGAGATCAATTACACAATGCATTTGTGTGAGCAAAATGCATCTAAACAAGCTGAGAAGCAGCACTGCCACACAACACTCGGTCATTAGGCTAACAGCAGCCTATCTAACGGAATACTGTGAGTATGTTTGCTACTACAAAGTTAGCAACATGAAATATGATAAAATGCTTAGGTGTAAAGAGTCTCCAGTTCTTTCAGAAAATCCATGAGCTTGTTAACTGGACTTGTATTTCTTAACGTGTGCCTGCTTCAGCTAAGTTTGTAATGAGCTTCTAAAAAAAAGCAGATAAAAAGAAGCAGGCCAACAAAATCTAAATATGATGTGAGCCAAATTAAAAGACAGCCTTGCTTTTTTGGTGGTTGTATACAGTACATGTATACCACATAAAAAGGAGATACTATGCAAATGTTTAGGTGCATATAGTGCCTCTACTGTGAAATGTTTCCATGCTGTAATGTTCAAAAAGCTCTTTCTTTTTGTCATTCTGCCTGTGTTGTATTAGCACCTCTTTTCACCCTATGTCTGAAACCAGAAACAAGGACTCCAGTGCCGGCGTTTCAGGCCGGGGTTGGGGGAGTATGTAGGAGAGAAACTCCCTCTGGAGGGAACACACATATTTTAGCCTTTGAAGACCATTTAAATGCATTAAAAAACTATATATTTCACTAGAGGAAAGGGAAAACCCAACAGAGCATAATAGGTCCCGTTCAAAAAAGAACCGACGTGAACAAAATGATAGCAAGAATTTAAGGAAAAAACACAAATGAGTCAGTATGAAAGACTCCAGTCATAGAAATGTTCTCAGTCAAATATACGGAAAATTATTAAATTATCTCAATTATTGTTAGCCAATTGTAGGCAAGCATAAACAAATAATGGTAAGCCCATAATAAGGTCAATATACGTATAGTATCTGTACTATTATTAAAATACATTGGGAAAAAGAATGCTGTGGCAAGTCTCATATATCCTCCTTTAGCACCACTATGTCAGGGTACTATTCATTGACTTAAGCTCCAACTTAATTACCATCCAAGGCTACCAGGTAATCCACAATTTACTCCATCTAAATGTCCCCCTTCAGCTGGGAGTACGATTTTCTCAGTAACAGACCCGGGTCAGAGTGGGCACCACCACATCACACACCTTTTTCACCAACAGCGGAGTTCCTCAAGGCTGAGTTCTGGGCCCATTCCTGGTCAAGCTCTACACTATTCCCAGCCTCCCCTCCCCCTATCACCAAGACTAATAGACTCTTCATAATTGTATGATTACTGAATAAGCACTGATTATTTTTATTTATTTTTTGGACTTGGAAATGTTATAAATTCCAAGCCTTATGTGTTTGCTGTGTGGTTGTCACATTACTGTATTTGCTGGTGTGTGCTTGATGTAAAACCATCACACTGCACATGTGTGCATGAATATGACCCCAAATATGAACATATTCAGAAGTGTATGGATTGGTGCATCCCTCCTCGAAATTCTCTATAACACAGGGGAAGTTAGAAATTAGGGCCTGGTTCTTCATGTAGTTAAAATAAAGGACATATAACTTACTTAAAATATTCAGTACACAAAAAACACACTGGACGCTGCACTAGGTCAGAAACCAGAGGAGACTGTGGACCACTTTTGGACAAAATGTCCTCTCCATTATAGGCAGCTCATTGTGGAATAGCCTCCCAACTGAGATACGGGATTGTCTCAATAGCTTCAAAAGTCAACTTAAAGAATGGTTGAGAAACAACCAGACGTGTAATCACCGCTAAATGCACTTTAACACAGGGGTACCTCCTCTTGCACTTTATGCATCTCTTGTATCTTCTCTTGCACTTTATATGTCGTTGCTGCTACATTACGACCATGTGGTAAATACTTGTGTATGCTGCTCTTGCTCTTTTTGCAAAAATCATCTATTTATTTTTGCTATCTTTATAAATGTCATGTTCTTATATGTGTGAGGGCCTGCGGATGGAAATTAGCTCAAATCTAAACTCTGGCATATTTACACTTGAAGCATTATTTGTCTTAAGTGTTCTTTAATGTCCCTGTTCAAATAAACGATTAAATTACAAATTTAAATTTAAATTGTTCGAATAAAATCTCTTTCCTATTTGATCATCTCCCAGATGAATAGGTTAAATGTGGGAACACTGTTATGTTCCCCTTGAGTGCCTGGTCAGGTGGCATGAATCCCTGGAGAGGGAGGCATTAATGATGTCTAACAACAGAGGAGGCTGGGCTTTTTAAGAGCGTGACAGCGAGTATTTGTCACTGATAAAGCTGAAACAGTGGTGGAAAGCATGACGACGCTTGAGTGTGTGTGTGTGTGTGTGTGTGTGTGTGTGTGTGTGTGTGTGTGTGTGTGTGTGTGTGTGTGTGTGTGTGTGTGTGTGTGTGTGTGTGTGTGTGTGTGTGTGTGTGTGTGTGTGTGTGTGTGTGTGTGTGTGAGATAATGAGAGTGAGCAGGGAATCTCACTGCTGGCTGATTGGGCAGTGGCGGGACAGAGCTCTATTCATTAGGGAGCGGGATCAACACGACAACAGAGACCCGAGAGGCGCCCGCTCTGCCAAAACAAACAGGATTTGCTTTTATTCAATCTACCCGTTCTCCATGCAGTTAATTAAGGTTACGCGGAAGTGGAGAAACAAATAATTCAAAGTATAAGCATCCTGCCATTTAGGCTCTGAGAGGCAGAGGCAGGTCTAATTGGCTCAAAGGCCACGGTGCAGTGAGTGGCAGTGTGTCAGCTGCGGCTCACCAGCTCTTACACAGTAACCCTCTCATAGTCCTGCTAACAAACATGGAGGGGGTGGGCTTTTGTGAGATGCAAAAACACACTTCACTCTTTCTTCTCACACTTCCTGCTCTCTACATGCAACAACCTCCTCCACATTTACTAGCTTTTTTTAACCTCTTGTTGTTGTTATTCTCCCTTTTATTAAACGGCTATTAACTGCTTTTAGGGATAGCAGCAGTCGCACCAGTTAGCACCATTGCTAAAGAAGCTCTGATCTGGGATGTGAAGTCATATTAATCCGCAGACAAAAGCCTCAGCCATTAATCACATTTATGTTAATCCATCAGAAAACTACATGATTATTTTTGTATATTTGTGGAGAGCAAGACACTTTTGATAAATGATGTCTATACTGTCTCGAGAAAGAAAAGAAAAAGAAAACAAGAGAAGGATATAGTGGTTAAAGCAACCCACTCTCTTCAATCTGCGTACAAATGACACGACTTTACACATTGGAAAATGCGTGCAATAGAGTTGCGAGTCCGAGTTTTGCGTGCATATGAGACGCAAATGGATACGGTCGTGTCTGAGAAGACCGGAAGCTGTGTGGTACATAAAAACATGTTATTACTCAATATCAAGCCACGATTATTGATTTTATTTGTAATCGTATAATGTCTGCCTTTTTTTGCCGTCCGTGAGGAAAAGAAATGGTGCTCAGAGCCTCAAAATACTGAAATCTGTATTGTTTTTAATCTTTTTTTCCTTCAAATTTGTTATCCTTTTCTAAATAACACACTGTTATTTACTCAACAATAACACACAATTATCCTTGTTTTTATTCATTCGTTTAATTCTATAATATTGGGCTTTTTAGCCGTCTGTCAGGAATTGATTTTCAAAATAAAGTCACCGGAAACAGACGTAGGCCCGGTTCAAGCTCGATGATTTGGATGTTGTAGCCGCAATGCACGCTGGGATATGGTGTTTCCCACATAGCACGTTTCGTTAAAGGTCCACTGGACGCAGCGCAGTCCAATTCGAGAAGGCGATTCGCCATTTAAAGAAGAAGAAGAAAAAGAAGAAGAAGAAGACATTGAACCCTCCTTGACACGAAGTTCCTCGAGGTAAACACGTTTTCTGTAATGTAATAAAGACATTTACAGTGTTTTTTAAATGATTTC